GAGTGGGAGGGCTTTGGCTAAATTCACAAGATTGCTATGTCAATGTAAATGATCAAGCGAGTAAGCTAGAGCCGGCCATGGGGATTAAATAGAAGCTCCCACGAAATAGAGCCGTTGGATCAATTATTGGGCTGACTGCGCATCGACCGGACACGCTGCTCGAGTACACCGGACGCTGCACTGGACGCACCGTTCGTGAATACCGGACGCGTCCGGTCGCTCCCAGACCGCCACGTGTCCAGTTCAAATCATAGTAGCCGTTGTTGCCCACACTTACATGCGTCCGGACGCTAAAATAGAAATGACCGGACGCTAAGCCGCAGTGTCCGACCGAGTCCAGAGAGTACCCGGGGCCGACCGGACGTGTCTGTTAGAAACTGACCGGACGCTGAGCCTCAGCGTCCGGTCGAGTCCAGTAAGCACCCACAGTCAGCCGGACGCGTCCTGTCACTCCGGACCGGACACTGCCAGCGTCCGATCAATTGTTTCACTGAACAACGACTTTGCTGATTCACACCGGCGACCGGGCGCGTCCGGTCTCTGAGTTCGTCGTTAATACCGGACGTGTCCGGTCACCATACCGGACGCGTCCGGTCTCTCTGTGACCAGTGCAACTAACTCATTTTCACCTCTATCTCCGTCACCCTTCCACAAATGTGCCAACCATTAAGTGTATCACATTGTGCACATGTGTTAGCATATTTTCACAAATATTTTCAAGGGTGTTAACACTCCACTAGATCCTAAATGCGTATGCAATGAGTTAGAGCATCTAGTGGCACTTTGATAACCGCATTTCGATATGAGTTTCACCCCTCTTAATAGTACGGCTATCGAACCTAAATGTAATCACACTCACTAAGTGTCTTGATCACCAAAACAAAATGGCTCCTACTATTTATAGTTTTGTCTTGAGCCTTTTGTTTTTCTCTTTCTTCTTTTCAAGTCCAAGCACTTGATCATCACCATGACAACACTATCATCATGCCATGATCTTCATTTGCTTCACCACTTGGAATGTGCTACCTATGTCATGATCACTTGATAAACTAGGTTAGTATTTAGAGTTTCATCAATTCACCAAAACCAAACTAGAGCTTTCACCTGGGAAGACACCGACCATGCTAGTAAATTTGGAGAGGCATTTGGCCAATCTGTTGGAGACGTTTTCTATCTAATAGTAGCCATATTTGGCTTTACAAAACATTTTAGCTCTTCTCTTGGAGTTGCTCTAATACTGAGATCCGAAAAGCTACCTACAGTGTCTGTTTAGCTTCTTGTTGAAAAAAAAATCCTTCTATTCCTCTCATTCCAAAAATTGAGTGAAATCCACTGGAGGTCCTTGAACTTGTCCTGTGTTCTCAAATGGGTCCATGTACTCCTAAAACCAGATTTTCGGGTCCCTAAACTTGCTAAATGTATCACCAGAGGTCCAAACTAGTTTTGGAACGCTGGTTTTGCATACGTGGTTGCCACCATGTCTGTTCAGTGCAAGGGCCTCATTCTTGTGCACGCCGCCTCTGTTGGACGCGGCTACCGCCACCTTGCCGTCGCCTTCCTGTGCCTGCTGCCGGTGGTCCATCGTGTCCATGCCTATCTTCATGGTCCTCTTGTCCGCCTTCGTCATCGACGCCGAGCATAGGACCAATGCTTCGGTGGGGCTGAGTTCGAGCTGTGATGCCGGTGGGCGCCTCACGACCGTGTGACGCATTCGACGCGGCGGCGGCGGTGGCCAAGGTGGAGCTCCACACGCGGGTTCGAACCATTGCTGTGACAAAACCGAACACTTTCGCGGGGGGCTACAAGGTCCATCTCAACCGCCCGGCGCAGTGCAAAGCGCTGACCCCAGCCGCCTTCACGGTTCACGGAGATCCTGCACGCCATGCCATGTCGCTCTCGCTCCTGAACTCCGCCCTCTCCACGCGCGTCGTACCGCGAGCCCGCATAGCTGCACTTTTGCGCGGGCGTCGAGCTCGGGGAGCTAGCTGGGGACCCACTAGCTACGGGCTACCACCTCCGCTGGGGGCACCGACCCTGCGACGCTGTGGAGGGGCTCAGCCTCACAGTCCTGGAGATGCAGGCCGCGGCACTCACGACCATTGAGCGGTGCCGGAAGCACATCATCGCGGCGGTGCACGGTGCCTGCGACGGGGACGTTGTGGCGGCATGCGACATCATCAGGTGCTACTCCACCTCCAGGGATGCCACGTTCGTGCTCAAGGAGTTATTAGATATGGCCATCGTCGCCGACGCGCGTTGCAGCGCCTCCCGTGGATCGTCAGATATGGGCAGACGTGGTGCTGTACTCACCGTACATGTACGTGGAGAAGCCCCAGACGCAGAGCACCGTGGCCACGGCCTTCTCCCAGCCGAACGGGCCGCAGAGCACGAGCATGCCGCCGATCACGTTGGTGGTCAGCACGGCGGCCATGCACACGCCACCGTGCAGCGACGATGTCAGGTACACCATCCCCTCGGTGCCCATAAGTACAAGGAGCTGTAGGAGAAGAGCAGGTTGTTCACGCCCATAAGTACGCCGATGACTACGCACGCGGCCAGCAGCTGCCGCGTGAACCACACGAATGGCTGGGGCTGGGAGGCGGACCGCCAGCATAGACGGGCACGAGCAGAACTGGGAACCCGACCGACTGCACCAGCGTGGCCACGGCCCACCCACTGATCACGCCCGCCCTGCGCGAAGTAGTAGTACCAAGACAGCAGGCTGGACGCCACGGAGCCACCGAGAAGTGCGGCGTAGTTGGCGCACAGCACCAGCAGCAGACGCAGGGCCGACTCGTCGCGCCATTATTGGCCGTGGCGTCCGTCGATGGCGCCGTCATGTTGAGTAGTGGGGCCGAGGTGGTGGTGGCTGGCGCGCACAAGAATGTGGGCCTTGCACTGAGAAGACACGGTGGCAACCACGTGTGCAAAACAGGCATTCCAAAACTAGTTTGGACCTCTGGTGATACGTTTAGCAAGTTTAGTGACCCAGAAATCTAGTTTTAGGAGTACGTGGACCTATTTAAGAACACGTGACAAGTTCAAGGACCTCCAATGGATTTCACTCCCAAAAATTCTACCAAAAATGACTAAAAGACCGTTAAACTCGCAACATTGTGATTTTTCAATCTGATATCCATTTTTGGCAACATTTGTAAATTATGCCGCTCTGATTCTGTTCCAGAGGGCATCCAAGTTGAACCAACCAAGTAGTAACCTCCATTTTTATTGTGTGACAATATTGTTTCAGTCCCCAAGCTACAAAGTGGGCACGAACTGTTATGTCGCCACCCTTTCCTCCGAGGATTATCCACTGTTAAAATCTTATTGTGCAACAAGGTCCATGCAAAGAATCTGGCCTTTGGTTCTGCCTTGGCTCGCCATATCGGACTGATCCTCATCCTACTGAAACTGCCCATAAATCAGATAAGATACGGACTTTTGGGTGTGTATTCGCCAATGCCCAACGCCAAACAATTTTGTCACAAGCAGGTCACTAAAAAATTCATGCAGCAAGAGGAGTATTTCTGTAGCATTTAGCTAATGGTAACTTGCTTAGCTGGGTTAACCTGAGCAAGAGGAGACATGAATTTGATCCTAACTATCTGTTTTCTGTTGCTGAAAATAAAAAAAAGGCGTACCCAGTGCAGAGAGCTCCCGCTTTGTGCGGGGTCTGGGGAAGGGTGTCAGTGGCAAGCCTTACCCTCGCCTGTGCAATGCGAGGAGACCGCGACTCGAACCCTGGACCTTCCGGTCACAGGCGGTAAGACTCTACCGCTTGCACCAGACCCAGGACCTTTCTGTTGCTGAAAATGAAAATGATTTTTTGAGGGACAGTTCAGATAAAATGTAGTGCAAATATTTCCCTGGATGGCTTGGCACGATAGAATTCAGATGCTTAACAATTGAGGAAAAGAAGGAAGAATTAGTTTATCATCTTTCTTCTTCTTCCTTTCTTTTATTTTTTTGCTGTAGTGTTATTGTGTTGGGTGAGAAACTGAGAAATAGCCTAGGATGGTAGGAATATACCAACATCAACTATGGTCCTTCCAGGACCAATTTTTGGGAGCTGCAGTGGGAAGTTATACGTTAGCTGGAGTGGGCTGGGCTTTGTCGGAAATAAGAAATGATCTAGTTTTCTAACAGAGTGCTAAAGTCACCTAAACAAGCTGCTTACAAAGCTTTCGGATTTGTCAATCACTGGCAGCTGCTGGCGAGGAATGGGGAGAAGAACATGCTGGAGGAACTCCTGAGGAAGCTGAAGAAAAGCCTAACAGATTGGTGAAGCGTGTCTGAGAGGGGAGCCGTGCAACAGGAATAGCCTCTCCTGTCGGTCTCTGATATGTCCTATCCTACTATTGTTAAGGTCGTTGTCTTTCACTAGTTGTTCCGTGGCGTCTCTGGTTTTAGGGAGGAGGAACCGTTCTCTGGTTCTAGACTTGTAGTATATGCAAATCTATTTGGATGTTTAAGTAGGCAGGGTGAGGCAAGTATCTACCTCTCCAATGTATCTACCAATACCAAGCTTACTTGGTTGTAGAACTAGTTAAGGGATGTGCTAGCATGTGTGATGTTTTGGCACGAATCTGGATGCTTTAACCTGTTCTGTAATCTTCCCTGCGTTAAAACTCTGGAGCAAGCTAAGGGTGTGCATGGCTGTGGGCTGGTGGTTTCTCTATCAGTAGTGGTTATGTATGTCTCTTCTTTCGGTGTTTTCGCTTAATAAAAGCTCTGAAGCTCCTCCCATGCTAACCGTTTAGTATGGTTTAGTCTTCCAATCACAGCTGCTGACATTAGCTTATAGAAATAGCATACTTGGAGTAGCAGTAGCGATCGATGTCATGTATACCAAGTACAATCTAGGCCCATCTAAAGGGCCGTTGGGCAAGGAGCAAGGCCTTTTGCCTGACACAGTGACACTGACACGGTCTGCATCCATGGACCAGAACACTTGCTCTACCCCCTGCTGTTCGATCATTATTCAGACAGACAGCCATCTACTAGCAGTTGGGTTCATACTCGCCCCCCTGATGCAACCGCGGGTTGTTGGCGAAGCTGCGCAAGACAAAGGAGACAATAACGATTAGCAGAGGGGACTGAGCGTTGGAGCATTCTTGCAGTTTCTGAACATCATGAACTCATGGAGGAAGCTCGTCATACCTGCTAGGGGGGATTTTCTGGAATGCTCCGTCTGTCGGGATCGTGCCACAGAGGTCATTGTTGGAGAAATCTCTGCAGCAGCAGCAGAAAAGAAGAAGAATGTTGTTGAGGCATGGTTCAACTGAGTATTATAACATACAGTAGTGCGCAAGAAACTGAAACAATTGGTGTTACTCACGCAATTCCAAGATTGGGCAGCCCAGCAAGCTCCCTTGGGATCGGCCCCGTTAGGCGGTTGTGATCCAGATGCCTGCCGACGACAGTGTTGAAGAAGAACATTCACGCACGCAGTTTGTTGTGTGTGTTACTCGTAGAACAGAACAGAACAGAACGGAACGGAACAGAACAATAGCGTAACCGAGAAATACGTAACTACTATTCCCGGACAACTTACAGGAATGTCAAGGACTTGGCGTCCCCGAGCGCTGCGGGTATAGCTCCTGAAATGCTGTTGCTGGACACGTCCAAGCTGAACAGCTTCTCCAGTTGTCCCAGCTCGGGCGCCAGAGTACCCGCCAAGTTCAGTTTCCCAAGATCCCTGTCGAATGAAGATGCAGTTTAGAGCAAACAAGTACAGGAATGATTTTGCAAAATGTTTTTACATAGTAGCACAAAATTATGATGTATTTCGAAATATTTTCCTCTATCTGAGACTTCGAGTACGTCTCACATCATCGATGGAAGATTGGAGCACAACTGTCTGTCTGTATATGCAGGCAAGATCCAAATCGAAGAGGGCGATGATCAAAAGATATGCAGGCAAGGAAGAAGCGGCTAGTGCCTAGCATAGACCACTCACAGACGGGTGACGCGGTTGTCGCCGTCGCACGTGACATAAAACCACGTGCACGGGTTCACCAAGCTCGGGTCCCAGCTCTTGAGGTTGCCGTCGGGGTCCTCAAGGCCCTTGCGCAGCGCCGCCAGCGCGTCGCCGTCCTTGTTTGCCGCCACCGGCTCCAGGGACGACGCCACAGCCATCGCCATGAGGGCGAATGCAGCGATCGACAAGGTTCTCCTCGTGCCTGCGACTTCCATGGCGGTTGACATTGTGATCTGAGGAGGGAGACGAGCAACGAACGAGTGTAGCAAAGGCCTATTGCGGTGATGCAGTGCGCTTGGTGGCCTTCGTTAGGTGGTTTTTAAATTGATAGGGAGGCTTGAAGCCAGGTGGTGGCAGTTGTCACACTAGCGTAAATGCTATATTTACCGACGAGATATGCATAAGGAAGCCTATAATTTCATATTGTATCACTTTTATTAGTGTCCTTTCCATTGAAGTTAATTACTCCTATATTGCACCAATAGGTTGGCAATGACTCACTAGCAACATTATGGGTATGTTTGGATCCAACCCACTAATAGTTAGTTGCTAATAATTAATTGGTTAGATCCAAAACAGAGCGTTACAGGTGTATCCAGCTAACAACTATCTTATTAATGTAGCTAATTAGTGGTAAATTGACTGAAATGTCCTTCCACCATCCGATAATTATTAACATCTACTCCCTCTATTCCAAATTATAAAATGTTTTGGCTTTTCTAGATGCATAGCGTTTACTGTGTGCACTTAGATATACACTATGTCTAGATACATAATAAAAACAATGTATTTAGAAAAATCAAAACATCTTATAATACGGGATTGAGATAGTACTAACCATTAACTTGATAAATAGTAGAAAATAGTGGTATTTTGGTAAAAACAACAATTCATCCACCTATTAGCTAGTTTGATCCAAACACCTCATAGGTAATAGTTCGCTAACTACTAGTTAGCCAACTAATTTTAGTTGGGAGCTAATAGAAAACTAGCTTTACTTCTGTACGTTCCAAATCATAAGATGCTCTGCCGTACCAAATTGAGTACATTTAATCCCCTTTCCCAACAAGCAACAAAGGGGATTGAGGCAAAAAAAAAACTTGCCCCGACAGATTTTCTTTCAATACCCTTCCCAAGCTCTCAAAATCCCCCCTCTCTCCCTCAAACAAAGAGTGGCGAAGCAGCTATTTTTTCTCAGTCCCCTTTCTTCACCTCCCCTCTCACTACCAAAGGCCCCATGCTCCCACTGTGACGGTGAGCTCGGGCTCTGCCGGTGAGCTCCTGCATCCGCACTGGCGAGCTTGGGTCCGTGTCCGTGCCAGGCGAGTCCCCAGGCGCTCCATGTTCGTGGCACCCGCACTGATCGGCTCGGCGTCCAAGAAAATCGGTGGGCTCCACACAGGTGGGCTCAGATCGGCTCCCATTCACTCGTGCTTTTGGTTGCCATTTCGATTCTTCATATCGAAGGAAAAGAATCACAAAATAGCAATCCTTATCTAAGGCCCCATTTGGTCGGGCTCTGGGCAGCTCCGGCTCCTGCTGCCGAATCACTGTAGATGCACTATTCACCAAAGCCGTTTTTCTCTCTCCTCCTTTCCTCTCTCACTGACACCACCGGAGCCGGAGAAGCTCGTTTTTTTCTCCCATGGCTCCGGCTAAAGTGTCGCTACAGTATAAGAGCCGGAGTACGCGGGAGCCCGGCCAAACAGGGCCTAAATATCATCCAATGGCCATGGGGTTCATCCCTCTAAGAATTATGTGTGTGTGGTTTGGTTTATATTGTCATTAATTTACCAAAACCCACAAAAGGAATGGCTACACTTTTGGTCCACCTTAATCATGTCCCACTGCAAAATCTTTGAAAGAAAAATGATGTATCGAAATTCTTCCTAATGCATTGAACATTGTTATCCTAAGTATTAAATAGTAAACAATCGATCACTTGCCATTGTTCAAGCTAAACATCCACTAAAATAGGCAAAACGACTGTTTAAACAGGATAAATGCCCGAATATATCATCATATAGCATTTAAACGGTGTACCATGGTATAACGTTTAATTAATGTTTAAATGGGCTAAATGACCGTTTACACAAATAATACCATGGAACCATCACGAGTCATGTTTTATTACTAAAGATGGACAAACGTGGAGAAAAGACGGGTTGACCCTTCCTACTATATCATGTGATGGTTATTTGTATTTGATCGATCTCTCAAATGACTTGGCAGATGTCATTGAAATTAGAGAGAACTTGACGTGTTAGCACTTTTAGGACCTCCTAAACTTGTAGGTAATATGTGGGCTAACGATGTTGGTGTTGCTCTGAGTTCTTTCTAACCTGATATTGATATCAGGCCTTTTCGCTTGAACTTATGAGTTCTTTCTAACTTGATATTGATATCAGGCCTTTTTCGCTTGAATTTATCAGCCAGCTTATCAGCTAGAATCTACAGTATTTTTCTCTCACAATAAAACAGCTTCAGCCGGCTTTAATACCAGCCGAACAAACCTGATAATCGTAGCTGGTTGCCCAACATAATACAATAATCCCTCAACCACGAATAAACCTCCGCCTCTTCCAAGCTCCGGTTACTGTAGCAAACGATGATCATCGTACTTCACCAATCACTGTTCATCCGCTACTCACCTACCTATTGTGTTAGACACTGTTCAAACACTTTTTACGCTAGTGATTTTTTGCCACTCCAGCCTCTACCGAAGTGGTGCCAGGCTGCCAGCGCGCGCACCCACCCGTGCTAGTATTTATCAGCTTTAAAATGGCATGCGTCGTAAAATTTCTTTGATCAAGACTGTCTCATTACTCGCTTATCTAAAAATAAAATTGTCCGTGGACAAAAATAATATGAGTTCACAGTTTGCCACCCGTTCTCCTTTTTTTCATTAAAAGAAAACAAAAAACTTGCAATCAAAATTTCGAACTTCTCCATCCCATGGCAAAAAAAGGTTACCCTGCCATTTATTCCTCCACGTTCCTACGTCTCAAACGCCCAAGACGGATGACGCGTTCAAGCGATGCCCTCTTCCAGCGCACGCGCTCGCTCTCTCTCCCTCTCTCCCTCCACTCGGCGAGATCCTCCCTAGCGCCCGGCGAGCTCCTCCTCGCGGCCGCGCCCGTGCCCCCCAGCCACGCCGAGCTCCTCCACCCACTCCGGCGAGCGGATCCGGTGACCTTCCCAACTCCGGTGTGCGGATCTGACGACAATCATGGCAGATCCGGTGAGGTAGGTCCTCCTCTTCCTTCTCCCAGCTCCGACGCGGCGGCTAGGGTTCTAATCACACCCATCTTCCCAAACACCGACGGCCTTAGAAGGGGCCGGCCGGGGGATGCAGGCAGGCCAGGCGGTGGGATGGTGGAGGGCAGTTTAGGGCCCTAGCGGCGGTAGAGGCGGTCGGGCCAGGTCGAGGGCGGGTGAGCACCGACGAAGGGTGGAGCGCGGGGTGGGAAGGCGGCCGCCGCAGGCGCGCTAGGGCTCGGCCGCGGCCGCGGAGCTCTAGCCGAGCCCTAGCGCGGCCGCGGCGGAGATGGTGGCCGGCGGCTTGAGCGAGAGCAGGAGAAGCTGGAGGAAGAAGAAGACAGCTGCACCATTCGATTCGAAATCTACGGTCACCGTTCGTCGCCTGAACAAATCATTTTTTAGACACCTGAAAATAGCGACACCCTTATTCTTCGAGGACTATCCACTATTAAAATCTTATTGTGCAACAAGTCCATGCAAAGAATCGGGCCTTTGGTTCTGCCTTGGCTCGCCAAATCGGACTGATCCCCAACCTACTGAAACTGTCCATGAATCAAATAAGATACACACTTTTGGGAGGTTAAGGCTATCTCCAACAATAATACCCAAAATATAAGAACTATTTGTCCTTTGGGTAGTGCTACAGGCAAATGGTTCAATACATATTCAACATCTTCTTCAACAACAGGACCCAAAAGAGAACCATTTCTGTAAATGAGTTTCCAGGAGAAAGGATGCACATATTTGGGTTGTGCCTCTCAAGCAACCCAAAATAGGTCTCTCGTATAAGTACTCTGTTAGAGGCTGATTTTGACTCTCTCACTACCTATTTTAGGTTTGAGTTTCCATATGCAAAATGCATTCCTTGAAGACAGTCTGAAGGCAAAGATGCTCCCAAGCATCTCTCACTGTCATCCGGGTCCACTACTCCCAACGTTCGGCACGCCCAGGTAGCCGTTACGCTGATGGCCCACTCGCACGCGGACACCGGTTAGCGGTCACCGCGAATCGTGAATACTTCTGACTACGAGGTGCTAACTATAAAAACGCTGCACATCCTTTCGTTTCGCCATTTCGTTCGTCCCCTCCTTCCCGTAGAGAGAAAAACCCACCGTCGACCCGCCCGGCCGCCCGAGAGTTCTGAATCGAAACCGTCGGCCGCGAACGCGAGAGCACCGCGGGGCGCCCACCGCGATGGCTCGAACCAAGCACCAGGCCATGAGGAAGCCGACGCAGAAGCCCAAGAAGAAGCTCCAATTCGAGCGCGCAGGTAAGCCCGCGTCCCGCCACACCCCCCCCCCCCTCGCGAGCAGACGCTGCCGCTGCTCTCCGCCGCCCCTGGTTCTAAGCGCGTTCCGTGTTCCTTCTTTTGCAGGTGGAGCGAGTACCTCGGCGACCCCGGTGAGTAGTGCGTGCGGGGATTGCTTTAGCCCTCCTTTTGCCTTTGGTTGGGCTGGCCTCACTTGCTTGCAATGTGTTTGATGGAATGCAGGAGAGGAATGCTGGGACCGGGGGAGGAGCGGCGGTTCGCGGTGAGGATCTCTTTGTCGTTGCTGGGTTTGGGAATTTCCGGCGCGAAATTAAGTGGATTTCTAGGTTTATCTGCTGTCTTTCTTCTTGTCTTCTCGTTTGGCTCTGGGGGTGCATTATTTCACCGCACCGTTTGGTTTAGTGTTTTCCCATCCTTTTACTGCCAACATTGCCTTGTAAAATTGCATGCATGTCTTAGTGTTGATATTCCCGTTACGGGTTCGGTTGGTAGAACTATTCAATTTCTTGGCGCAATATGCATCTTCTTTTGTTGCAAGATGCGGGCGAATGTGCCAGTTCCATATGGGCGTTGCGATTTTGGAGTTACTACCTTGCTTGCTCTTCTTATTATAGGTGTCATTCACTATAGTATGTTTTCTTGGAGAAGCAGTTACACGGGGGCGTGTGGAGAAGAAGCATCGCTGGCGGCAGGGACTGTAGCGCTGCGGGAGATCAGGAAGTACCAGAAGTCCACTGAGCCGCTCATCCCCTTTGCGCCCTTCGTTCGCGTGGTGGGTGCAGCGTGTACCAATTGTTGTCTACTCCATAGAATGGGTTTGTTCTGCAGTCGTCTGATGGAAAGTTATTCTTCTGAGGAAAAATGCAGGTTAAGGAGTTAACTGGATTCATAACAGACTGGAGGATAGGACGCTATACCCCTGAAGCCCTCCTTGCGCTGCAAGAGGTCAGTTATGAAACATGTCTTGTGTATCAGTTAAGATCATCATCTATAGACATGATTGTTATCATGAAGTCTTTTTATGTTAATCGGTCTAGTACTACTTAGTAATCAGGATTTCAGATTGCGGCCTTTCCTAGTGGTGTGGTCAAAAGGGAATTTACGTGCTGTTAGGTACTGTTTGTTTCGGTGTTTTCAACCCTGTAACCGTTTGTGCCGCGATCGGTTGCCGTTATTCCGTGTTTGTTTCTGCAGCAGCGGAAGCGTTCATGGTGGGATGGGATACGGGCGCGTGAAACATCGTTACCGTCCATCTCCATGTCTTATCCATTTACGCTGCTCGCAGGTCGCATTTTCCCTCCACTCACTCGTCGTGTGCGGCAACCAAACGAATCGCGTTTTTCGTTACTAGTGTAACTGGTAGCGGTTGCAACTCTTTCCATTTGCGTTACTAACTCCCTATGGGAACCAAACAGCACCTTCATGTAGATTCCATTTGTATTACCTGAGCTAGCTTCCTTGCTATTGGTGCCTTGATTGGACTGTTATGATCGAAATGCTGAAAACTTTGTTGCCTGCATAGCATGATTAGAGAACTTGAGTTGAACTTGATTTATTCAATACCTTGAGACTGCATTTCATGTAGATAAATTATTTTTCCTAATTGTTCTGGTTAATTAAGAGTTTTAGGTTTCCATATTTTTGTATGTGCATCATTTAAATTGTTGTTTTTCCTCCCTGTCTACAGGCAGCAGAATTCCACTTGATAGAACTGTTTGAAGTGGCGAATCTGTGTGCCATCCATGCCAAGCGCGTCACAGTCAGTAAGTTATCACTGAATGAACTCCTTTTTCCCTCTGTACTATGACGCCTAATGGAAATGTGATGCATTTTGGTTACACGATTATTTAGTTTTTCTGCTTCAGTTGGATATGATAAATCTAGATGTTATTTAAAGTGGCAAATTGCTTACGAGTGGAAATAGTAATGTTCAAATAGTGCAAAGTGCAATTATTAACTTTTAATAGGCCATTATATGGTTTGATTATATCACCAAAGGCATCAAGAAATAGTAAATATTATAACAGTTATGACTTAGAGAGTGGACAAAAATTCGGTAATGGTGAAGAATTTAATTCGGCTTTGCATAAAACACTAAAATTGGCTAAGAAATCTGATAACTCAAGGAAATGTATTATCCTAAAATGAGGCATCATCTAAAATTGATGACTTAAGAGTGGAAAAAATCTGATGGTGAACTCAATTCGGCTTTGCATAAAACACTAAAATTGGCTAAGAAATCTGATAACTCAAAAATGTTTTGTTTTCTTACTGCTGCAGTGCAAAAGGACATACAACTTGCAAGGCGTATCGGAGGAAAGCGTTGGGCGTGATATCCATTCTGATTCTGATTGCCTTATTCGGGTGAACATGTTTAGAGGAGTTAGACATTAGTGTTGTGAATGCTGCATGGTTCCTAATCTGTTTCACAGTTAGTGGGTTCTAAATCCAGGCTCATGTATTGTCGTTTTTAGTCTGTGCCTCTGATATCTTTCTATTCTTCATTTTGCTGGGATGGATGGGATGATCTGTTAACATCTGTGGAGTATGCTATGTAGCAACTTTTAGCTGAACTGAAGAACCCTGCGCCAAAGCAGCTGTAGATTGTGTGTTTGGGTTGCTCTTCAACCATTTGTTTGCTTCAGCTAACCATGTTTTCTTTCCCGTGATGTTCATGATTTACGCCTTTAGAGATCGATTCAGTCTGCAGTATGGACTGTGGAGTAAACTGCGTGCTGAAAAGCAAGGCTGGATTCGAAGCAGGTCCAGCAGACCCGAACCACTGCTGAAACGGCAGATGCAGGTGCAGGAGGGCTTTTTGAACTGGGATCCTGTTTCCCCTCTCGGGGGAGATGCTACTCAGATGCCTGTTTTCATTTTTCTCACGACGTTTTCACACGTCTCGTTCCCCAGGTCACAGGTGAAAATGTTATTCGGCGTGTTTGCTTATGTTGAAATTTGGTTTATGCTGATGTTTATACTGAAATATTGTTAGAGGAAAACACTGTTTCGTGACTGAAAAATAGTGCTGAATAAGAAAATGTTATTGCGCGCTGACTGTTGCAGTGTCACCGATCTTGCGATAGCCGACATTTATTTCTCACGCGCCCTTGCCGACATGGGGAGTTCATGAACATTCATGACTCATGAGATAGGCGCATGATGACAAGTAGCGGATGCTCAATGCCATAGCCTGATGAAAAGAGGAGAAATGGAGTCCCACGTTATATATGAATGCCAAGATTTGTCAATGCTGGGTGCAAAAAGAATGAAGAAAGCAGAACAAGGATCAGGTGATCATCGATCAGCTCTTCTTTCTAAGCCGTCACGGTTACAACTCTAACTCTTAACATTGGGAGGGAAAAGAAAGGTGGCCACTGAAGAAGAAGAATTACATCTATCTGTCTATCTGAAATTTGCTCCCCTAAATCCTCCTTCAGCTCCCTTCTAATTCTGCCTCGGATTCGACTTGCTCGGCGTCTGCTTCTTCAGGCTTGCCCCGACGCCGACGCAGCGACTCTCCCCTGCCGCCGTGGCAGCAGCAGCGTTCAGCGGCTGTGTACCCGCCACTGCCCTTGCGTCCGCGACCCGCAGCAGCTTCCACAGCTGGAACCGGAGCCGCTCTCCCGACGCCGACGCCGCGCCATCGCGATCTACAGGCACCAAGATTGGCGCGCAGACCAGGCAATGCAGGAGTAGCAGCAGCAGAGCACAGATGAGGGGAGTGCAGGCGGCGACGGATCTCATGGCCGGGACGTGTGCTTGCGGCCAGGCGATCGAACCACTAGCCCGCCCCACTACTGCGATGAGCCGATGATACCAGCTCTGCCAGGCGATTGTCAATTATGGCAGAGGAAGGTCTGCAGTGGAGTAGGCTCGGTCGGGAGGAAAGGGTCCTAGTGCAGTGATGGCCAGGATCGCGGCACTGTGGCGTGTGAATTGTGATGGGTTGGGTTGCTTCGAGCTGGACTCGTACGGCGGTCTCCATCGAAACCTAACCAGCCGTGTGCGCTGCTCGTCGTGGTCTCGTGGAGCTTGAGAGCGAGCGTCGTGCGCGTCACATGGGCAGTATGGGAAGGAGCGGACCAAAGATCGCGCCCCGCCCTGATCCGGCTGCTCTGCCTGTACGCTTCTTTTCAGAGACAGTCAGTGACACCGGACGTTGGCACCGTGACGCTGCTGATCCTGATCGCACCAATGCCATCATGTCACCACGCTGGCACACGACCAAAAATTGTAGCTTGACGATGAACGCATGCCTCTTGTTCTTGGATGATGGATTAGACAGAGGAAGGCGCCACGAAATGAGAGCGAAGAGCTCCGGGCTCGCCACTGGATGGAGCAACCGCGTCGCGCCGCCTCGACGCAATCAATCATTGCTTAGCTCCTTCCCTGTGCATCCAGCGGCGCGCTAAGCTCCGGAAGATCTCGTCGGCTCTGCGTCACGTTGCGAGATGCCCATGACCCCGTCCGTCATGGACGCTTTTGGATCTAGCGTCGACGGCGATCACGACGCCTTAGCAACGTCAACGTGCACGCCAATGCCATGCGCGCGGATGCGGACCACGGCGAACGGCGCGGCACGCACCAGCCGATGGCCAGCGGTGGACGTCGTCGATGCAGGCGCCGCGGTGTGCGTAGGATACGATACGGTACGGATAGGACCGCGCCAGCCAGTGAGCCAGAACAGCTCAGTGCAGACCGCCGCACGCCCCGCGCCCACAAGCTGCTGCAAGGTGTAAGCGACGGAGCGAGCCAATGCTTCCGCCACCATCCCGTGCGTCGTAGCATCGTGCGTGGTGCCCAAATGCCAAGTGGACACGGTATCACTAGTCCCATACCCGTCGATCAACATACGGATGACCTGGGGATTAATCCCCGTATTTGTTTCCTGCACGTCCTGGACGTCTTTGCCAGGCTATTTCGCGGTTTCGGTGATCTCCATAAGACACTCGTAGGTCTAGAGGTGTGCGTACGTGTGGTGTAAATTGTGGCTACATCTTGTACACTTACGAGTCCAGGCTAAATACTACATCTTGTATCTTGTACACGTAGGAGTCCAGGCTAAAAAAACAAATTTGCTAACCGTCATGCGGTTGTTTTGGGACAAGACAACAACCGGATTTTTGGCCGTCCATGGCATGCGTTGGCCTGTGATGACCGTCCGATGCCGCTGGATGTCGACACACGTCCGACCGGTCCCCACCCCAATACTGCTGTCGCAAGCACGCGCGCAAGCACACGGCGGCACGGATGCGGCCGAGTGCGGCAGCACAGCAGCGCGCGCTCCACATCACCTTCCCCTCGCCACGTACGGGGCCGGCCTCCACCGGCGCAGGATTTTTTTTTAATTTGTGAAGAATTTGTGAAGTATTTAACATATTTGACATATATTTCTCTGATATCTGCAATCAATAAAAATAATTTATAATTGATATATATTTATCTGAGATCTACAATTATCCTCACATTACATCACTGTGTCCTATGATTTACACTAAAGAAATCATTGTAAATATAATAATAAAACAGTGTAAATATAACTATAAGATAATGTAAGTGCATGAAAAAAATCTGGTTGTTGACTAGACAAAACGTTCGGATGACTGGTCAGGACAAAAGGAAAATGAAAAGAAGACAAAAAAAAATGAAATTCGACGAGGGGAATGGGAGATTCAGGAGGACAATGGACAAGACGAAACATAAGTCCATCAACGTCAAGCACCGTCAGGATGCAAGCCACATCATCGCCAAGGCAAAACCACAGATGGGAAGCAGTAGCTTACTAATGTTAGCTCCAAATTCATGTCAAGACGTTATGATGGTGAGTGTTCAGAACTTAAGATACGGATGGATCAGTGGATGAATTGACAGAGGAGTGCACAGTACGGCTATGTGGAGCGCCGGCCAAATTCTGACCTGACAAATGTATGCTTAAAAATGAAGCGCACATGCTCATTAAGGTAAACTCAATGGCGTGCACGGTGCACCGTTGAAAAAGAACAACAGGAGACACTTGCTCAACAGAAACAGATACCTGAATACCTTCTCGTATAAGGAAGCTCTCAGAACTTAGACGTGTGTCTAGAAGATGTGCATATACTGAAAGACACCAAGGAAATGATCCGCCGGGACATGCTACAGGTTGCTGCTACCGACCAGCATACACTGACCTACCGGGCCTGGAAAAGCTATACCCTGAATCTATCAAATGTTTCTAACCCAAAAAAGAAGCAAACTATATAAGTAGACCCCTTGTATATATAATGTACAAAAATCACTATGAGCATTGTCACCATCGAAACTCAAAAGGCAGCCGAACCCGTTCTCCTGAATTGATACTTGGGTTCTGGGGGAGGAGCAGAGCTCAGTATCTCATCCAACTCCTGAAAACAACGTGAAGTAAAGGACCCCAACAAAAAGGCAAATGTTAGCAAGGACGTCAGCATGAACATAACGCGATATAATGTTTATTAGAGGCATTGCATATCAGCACCATGCTATTCTTTACCCACTGTCAAGAAAAAGAGCAGCATGTAGCTCAATTACGTTATGCTGCCAAAATTTTATGCATCCCCACAACAGAAAGGAGCATCACAATCTCATTGCAGTGGGCTAAAAAAGAAATGGGCTGTAAGGTCATAGACTCATAGCATTATGAAATAACAAATCTTGATCTCACAATGGTGAAATCAGCCAGATAGTATAAACATGACCGGTACAAAATTTCTCATGATAAACCCATGTATCCGATGCTCAGCAACAGCTCTGTATTTCAGTCAAAGCAAATCTAATGGCACTGAACTAGCAACTTATGAAGCAAAACAGAGATATTTTTCAATACCCAGTAGGTTCTCTGAATCCATAGAGTTGTTCCCCTTACAAACCTCGATAAGGGGGGAAATAACTCCCTTTCCCCACTCTACATCCCCCTCTGATTGCTGTTTCAAATTCAAGATCAAATAATCTGAACACAGCAAGCGTGGTCCTTCCAGGATGGTGGTAAATCCAGGACCAAAACGGCAATAAAAGGCTGGCTGACTAAATTCAAGATGGTTCTTCCAGGACTGGAAGAAAACAGTAGATTTAACTGTAGGAGGTGGTTTGATGGTGGTAATAGAGATAAGAATCTCAAAGCATCATAATTGTATGGAACTCTAGATTGATTGCAGTTATTGGAAATATAAGTACATATATAGCACTTATCTGTTACCAGGTAGCAGGACATGACATAAGTACATAACTATTGAGCCATAGTAGGAAGTGAAAAGGGAACTGAGAAACGAATAAGTAGCTAGCATCAACCAATTGCTTAACAATCTGAGGAATAACGGCTTTGCAGGAATTGGCAGTTCAATATCAAGATATAGTGGAATGCTTTTGTTGAATATCCTCCACAAGAAAAAAAGAAACAGTATTATGAGTTCATGACAAGAAAAAGTATTACGAGTTCATGACAACATGAGGTAAAGTACCTGCTGTTTCTTTAGCCTCTCATTCTCCTCTTCTAGACGGGACACCTTGTTTTCAAGTTCATTAGTGTAAGCCTGCCAAGCACAATGCACATGGTCATGAAAACAATGGCTACACAAAGAGAAAGGGAAAAAAATTCAAATGCTCTAGCTGCTTCCATATCCTTGCTAAATAGTACAGAATAAACACCAAAATCTGTACCACTCAACATTTCAGGAAGCCTTCATGTTGCAATTAGAACATTATAACAAGCAACAATATTCAATATAGAAACTAAAAATAAACAGGGCAACAGAATTAGACCTGCTTTCTCGCTCTTGATCGTGCAGCTGATTCCCTATTCTTTATCATCCTCTTCTGCCTTCTTTCAACCACCTTATCCACTACCTCCCCTAAGGCACCGCGCTTGCGCCCAGGTGTCTGAGAGTCCGAAAGTGCACCAAATGATGGCGAAGTAATCTGGCCATCAGAGTAAATCGAATCCAAAATAGCACCTGTAGCAATAGACAATGGCTGAGGGTGCAACTGACTAGCCATGTATGAACCCGCCAAACTCGGTTGCTGGGACCCCAAAGCTTGCTGTTGGTACTGCTGCAACCACTGTGCTCCAGGGTTCAAACTAGAAGCACCAGCCACAACAACACTGCTGCCAACTGTATCCATATTGCTTGGCAAATCAGCCGAATCCTTCATAAGTCCTTCTGTAACAACCCCAGCTTTGACCAGGAAGTCCTCAAGTGTCATCTCCCCAAGCGTTGGCTGCCTCTCTCGCCTCTGCCGACCATCCGCCGCAACACTGGTCTCTGGTCCACCCTGGATGCCCTTCCACACCTCGTCAACAGTCTTCTTGCTCAGCTGCGGAGGCATCATGATGCTCCCCTGTCGCTGCAGGCTCGACGTCGGATCAGGCTTGCCTGTAACAGCACCATCTGGATCTAAACCATCAGGAAACACACTCTTCAGGAGCTCATCAAAATTCATGCTAAGCAATGGCTCCCCCAAATGGTTCTGCACCTCATCGAGGGTAAGGTTGTATAAAGACCCTTGTCTTGCCAAACTCTGCATCTGCCCGCGTTGCACCGAGCCGGCGTCACTGCCTCTGCCACCTCCAGTCTGTGATGACATTGCCTCTGAATCACGAACAGGCACTCACTGGCAGCCTTAGCATGGGGGATGAGCAGGGGGCGGACCCAGTAAAGGGCATGGGTGCACACCCTATAATTTTTGCAAAGTAATCGAAGTTGGTAGCCATAATACATGAATATGCACTTGTAATTAGGTCAGATCCGAATACAAATAGTAAGTTAGGGTTTGGGTGCACTCGCACAACAGGAAGGGAAGACCGAAGGGGAGGGCGTACCTGGTGGTGCTCGTCGCCGGCAAAGGGGCCGCAGAAGACCTGAGCACCTGGCGCAGGCGGCAGCGACAGCCACCCAGGCGTCGCCACGAGAGAGGGAGCACGCTGGGGTGGCGAACTGGCGATGGAAGAAGAAAAGGCAAAGATCGAAAATCACATGCGTGTAATTCACCGGTTGGCCCGATGCTTGAGTAGACTGTTAGTTCAGAGTCTACTAAAAAAAATCTCATGTAATTTCGTTGTTTTAATTTTTTTAACTTTATAAAAATAAAAAATTTTTATTTTTATAGATCTTCTATAATATTCTATTTAAAATTTTTTTTCATTTAAGTTTAGAAAAAAATGATTTGATAATGGTGTTTTCATATCTTCATTAATTAGGATGCCAACTTTTTGGAATTTCAAAAAATGGACCCAAAAAGTTGAGTAGTGGTGGCATCAAGACCGCTTGAATTTTTTCCAGGACACAACCATTTATAATGGCACATGAGAAAAGTCTCAAGAAAAAAAGATGTAAACGAAATAGCTTGAGTTTTTAGTCTCACTAATAAATCTCATGTCGTTGTTTTAAAGACTTTTAATAAAATAATTTATTTTATAGTTTTATATATATTTAATTCCATGACTCATAAAAAGTTAGTAATGGTGTGTTTCTATCTTCATTAATTAGGATTTATGAAAAAAAATGATGTGGCTCTACCATTAACGAAGAGAGATGACGAAATAGTTTTTTAGATAAGAAATCATGGGGCCGTTCGCTGGTCTTATCAGACCAGTCAGTCGGCTGATCCCCTCTCAATAAATTGTTCACCAAACCAGCCAAACAATGTTTTTCTCTCACAACAAACCAGCCAGAATAGTATTTTTCAGCCAAGTTTCAGACTAGCGAACGGGGCCCATGTCTACGTGAGAACTAAGACATGAAGAGATATGATTAGTAGGTAATAAAAAAAGAAGACATGATTGGATAAAAAAATATTGTGTAGAAACTATCTATTGCGAACATAGTTTCAACATGTAGTGTCTATATAATTTTTTTAGAATTACACAGTACAACGTAGAAGCTCATAACACGCATGCATACTTACCCCTATGAACATATGTACGTAAACCATATCTCTATTAACATTTTCTAAGGACTAAGCCGGCAGATCTCGAGATTTACGAAGTCACCATAGGTGCCTCGCTGATGATGCAGACGTCGTCTACCACTAAAAGCATAACGCCGTTAAATCCTGGAATAAATCCAGAAAAATGACGAATACCCATGTCAAATCGAGGACTTAAACTCGGATGGACAGGTTCCACCACACGGAACCTGCGATAGAACAGTCCAAAATAACACACTTACGGAGACACTTGTCTTCCACTAGACACTAAGCCCCCCGAAGGTGAGCTACACCAGGCAGCTCTATCAAGCACACCCCATGGGAGAACCCGAAAATCCATATTTTCAACAGGATCATAAATGGGAGAATAAAGCTTACAATATTTTAGCCATTTCTTACATCACTTTCCGTGCAACATCATAGTATAATATTTATTGTCTATAACAGCGGAATATAGCCATGTTATTAGAGTTTCATCGAAAATAAAAGCATTTAATGACAAGTCAAATATTAACATGATGATCCGTTATATACATCATAACATGTTATAAGTTTGTCCATTGTAAAACATTTTAGGTGGAAGTTTCAAATAAACTCTATGTCCACAATGTTAAGAAAATCCTCGTTGAGCCCACCAAAAGAAGTTTCCACACATAAGTGTCAGCTCCACATATTCCTGTCACTTACAACAGGATAGAACAAACCCTGAGTACTCAATTGTACTCCGCAAGATCTACCCGTCAGAAGGAAAGAAAAGACTCCAATGATATGTAAGGCTATCTGGCTTGTGGGTTTATTACATATGTAGGAAGCATTACTAAGCGTGCATCCTTATATTCAATTTCATTAGCAGTCATCATTAGTTTATTAACTAACCATTCTATATAAGCACTTGTGCTACTTTCAAGCAGGTGGTAAGCAATCATAACCATTTTATCATCTTTCATATTCCAGTTCTTACTACGATGCTAGACTGTAGACAAGTCGTACCGGATTACCCGGTGATTCATGAATCAATGTTCCCAGCGGGTACTCCGAAACACACGTCCCGCTTGTACCCCAGGAACAAGCAGGACCAATCCATCACTCTCCTGTCAAGGGGTCTAGGTTCTCATCCAAACTTGGACTCTAAGCCCCACACCTAAATCCCGGACTCAGTGTGGTGCTTAGACCTCCATCATCCCCGTCTCCAATCAGTCGGTCCGGAAAGAGCCGGAACCCACGACAAGAGAGCAACGAGCCTTCCTTGCTCCCATAAACAAGTATGTGCTCAGGATAATAAGTCTGTGACCTAACTAGAATCCAATGCAACGACCGGTCCTTAACCGACATAGGCGGAACAAGTGCAATTCGAGCCTCGCTCGAATGCTAAACCAAGTCTATATCCAAAATACCATTTCACCTGGTCTCCAATTATCATTCATATATATTCCATATGATAGTAATATAATAACAACAATAATATCTTTCATATCTCTCACGAGTGACAGGCAATCACTTGACTTCTACCGGAGTCCCGTAGCATAGCAATCTACATGATCCTGTCATACTAGTAAGACTCATGGGATAAGGATATATATATATATATATGTGGGTTTCATTGAACTCCTTAAACTTAATGCACAAGCATAAAATAAAGTGTAGAATAATAGAGGTTATACACCGGAGCATGCCTGGGTAAGATATAACCAAAAGTTAGCATTCTATCATGGTGACACGATCATCAAGGCACCATCTTTTCCGCTACCTCGGTTAACTCCACGATCCATCGTTGTTCCTATTATGATATACGTGGATACAATACAGAGACGCAATTAATCAATGGTAACAGCAACTCTATAATATAATTACGCTCCATGAGCTAATGAGCTAGCTTAATGACTAACGTACTAGTCTACGTATCCACGTCGCCAAGTAATGCTTGTTCTAGAAAATATTTTTGTTCTACAGACCCTCAATTATTTTTGACATTCGATTGATTAACTATATATTTTCGGACTAGGGCTCATTTAGTTAACTTAACAAACTAATTTCTATGGGGCTATAAAAATTACAGTGAGCACCTAATATTGTTAGGAATCCATTGTAAAAATTTCAAGGCCAGTACTTCTACCAATTCATCACAATAATTCCTACAAGTCCTTGTTTTACCCACTTTAAGAGCTTCAAATTAATTAGTCTACTCTAGAAAACTTTATGAAACTAAGTGAACAAAATACATTATCAAATAGGTCATAATTTTAGGAAGCTAACAAAATTGGTTTCACTATTTTTGGACATCTACACAAATTTACCTTGAATTTACAAATTTACCTTAGAAACTAATTTGAAAAACGCTTTAGAAAAAGAAAAGGTCGGTGGCCAACTATTCGGCCCAGCAACCTAAACGGCCCACGACGGGGAGCCCGCATGTGTAGCAGGCCGGCCCAACAGGCCCGCAACGTGAGCACTCTTGCGCATTTTGTGAAAGAGCCCCTGACCTAGCGAGTTATTACGCGGAGCACTTGCACACTATTCTACAAGAAACATGCTTAGCAGCTAAGCCCCCGAACTATCCCGTCATCACCACGGTGTGGCAGAAACTGCCTGAAATAACATGCTTACGGAGGTGCTCGTCTTCCACCAGACACTAGGCACCCTGAAAGCAAGCTACAACGGACGGTATCCGTTGGGCACACCCCAAGGGATAACCCGAAAGATCCACATTTTTTTCAAGGATCCAATAATGAGAACGAGTTATAATACTTGTCCATTTTATACATCAGAGTTTCTTAAAAATTACATTACCAAATGTCAGAGTGTGGAATAATAAACGATGGAATTTAAAATGAATATCTAGCGATAAGAACGAGGATCCATCTGTGCCCACCAGAAGAATCCTCCACACAATGGTACTTCGCATGCATTACCTGCAATAGGGATAAATAAACCCTGAGTACAGAATATACTCGCAAGACTTATATCGACTAGTGGGAATAATTTCCCGACTCTAAGGAATATGATAAGCTTTATGGCTTGCTGGTTTCCTTTTTGGCAGAAAGCAATACTATTAGTGAGTCCTTACTTATGATATTATTAATAGTTGTATTAATTTATTATCTATCCATGCTATATAAGCACATATTCTACATTTTCAAGCAAGAGTTGAGCAATCAGTTCTATTTCATCACATTCCATCTTTAAATTATTACTACGATGCTAGAGTTAAGACAAGTCGGTGATTCGCGAACCAATGTGCCTAGTTGGGTGCCCCAAAAATACACACCCCGCTTGTATCCTAGACACAAGCAAGACCAACCCATCACCCTCCTGTCCTGGGTGTCCATGTCCCCGTCCAAACTTGGACTCCAAGCCCCCACTCCTGAGTCCCGGACTCAGTGCGCGGTGCAAGGACCTCCACCATCTCCTCCTCCAATCAGTTGGTCCAGAAATAGCCGGATCCATGACAAGAGAGCAACAAGTCTTCCCTACGCCCATACCCAAGTATGTGCTCGGGACAATAGATCTGTGACTTGCCTAGCGTCCATTGCAATGATCGATTCTTAACCGACACAGACAGAGAAAAAGTGTAACCGAGCTATGCCCTGTTGGCCGCAGGACACAACCCCTTACACTCACCAGTACCCAAACCATATCCCAGCCTGGTCACCATTTTCCTT